TCTATCTATCTATCTATCTATCTATCTATCTATCTATCTATCTATCTATTCAAGACTGGCTACTTTTTTAACTTAAAAAAATACCAATCCAAGATATTCATCGGTACATATCATATTCATCTTTTTGGGTCTGGTTTACCTCACTCAGGATAGTGTTTTCTATTTCCATCCATTTGCGTGCAAAATTTTTAGACCTGGATGGAGGAAGGAGGACCTTGAACTTCCCACAGGGCAGGGAACCCTGACTGCTTTTTGGTCTGGAGAGAGAGGGGATGGGGGAAGGGGGAGACAAATGGGATGAGGTGGAAATTTTTAATAAAAAAATGCCAATCCAAATTCCCATTCCCTCCTTCCCTCCCATTCCCCTCCTTTTCCCTCCACAGTCTCTCCCAGATTTGATCAAGGAAGAAATCCTGAGAAATCTCTGATAGGAGTGGATGGCCCAGATGATCCAACTTTTCAAAGAAACTCTGTTGGAGCTTCTTCTGAGTTTTATATTCAGAACAGCCTCAAGATTGCTGACTGAGATGATCAAACCTCATAGAATATTCCAGTCAGGACTTGATCATAATCCTAAATTTTCTTTAAGTCCCTATAAGATTATCAGTATCCCCAGTCATCAAGAAGTGGCCTAGAAAACTATGTCCACATTCCCAAAAATGAATTATGAATGCTTATTATTGTTTAGAGGGTTGACTTCTTGTATTCATACAAGTTGTTATGAATAATGGTCTATCAAAAAGCTAAACAAAGGAGATTAGATTTAGAGTTCTTGTTTTGGGAATAAAAAGTGGGGAGAACTGTAGAACAAGGGTCTTGTACCCTGAAGATTTGTCACTTGTATTGGTTTAATAAAATGCTCATTGGCCAGTAGCCAGGCAGGAATTATAGGCAGGGTGACCAGAACAGGTGAATTCTGGGAAGAGGAAAGGCTCAGTCTACAGTTGACAACCAGATGCACAGGATGCAAGATTAGAATGCCTCACTGATAAAAGATACCAAGCTATGTGACTAACACAGATAAGAATTATAGGTTAATATAAGGTGTAAGAGTTTGTTAATAAGAAATCCTGGGCTACTAGGCCAACCAGTTTTTAGTTAATGTAGACATCTGTGTGTTTCTTTGCAACTGAATGGCTGTGGGACCAGGCAGAACAGAAACTTCTGTAAACAACAGCCCAGATAATAGCTTTTTAAAATGTTTATTTTTCAATGTACAATAAGATTTGAGAACAGTAGTCCTGTTTCTCTCATCTCAAATACTAAATAAGACATGTCACCACCCCCAGCAAAAGACTTGTCCCAAGTTTTGCCCTAGTTTCTCTGTAGTCCATTTCCACTAAAAAGAAACACTCCAGCCTGCACTCGGTGGAACACTTTCACACTGGCAGTGCAGATTCTAGAATGCAAACAAAGTAGATGACTAGGAAAAATGTATAAGAAGAATTTACAGATAAACACAGCATCACTTCCCAGTTTCTCTTTACTTCAAAGATACTCAGCAGTACTTCTTTGAAGGCACTACTGGAATACAAAATGAGCAAAACAATGTAGGAAATTAGAGATAAACCAGAAGAAATGGGTCAACACAAGATTTGATCTGTGAGAACTGAGGATCAGGGAAGGAGACCACGTTTAGAAATCTAATGCTCATTTCTCATTAATAATAATTGGCTGGGAGGAAGAGTGATAGGTCTTGTGTAGTATTAAAAATGAGGCACACAGGTCTGCTTTTCTCTCTGGATCTTTCTGAATATTAGAAAATAAACATTTAGCATGTAAGCGCACTTTGGTTCTGTGATGTGCTAGATGGTTTTGGAGCAGCAGAATTCAGAAAATTTTTGAATTTGGACTGATTATTGATTTTCAAGTCAATGGAAGCACAGGCTTTTGTTAGATATTTGTACCTGTCACTGTTGTAGAATAGGCCCCACTGTGTGTGCTGTGTGGAATTCAGTTACTCTAAGCACAAATCTGCTTTTCCCTGACATGGACTTTGTGTTACAATTTCCAGTGTGGAGCCATGAATTCTGACTTTATGAGTCCTCCTGAACTCACAAAACCAGAATTCGTGAACTCACAAATGCATGTCTTGCTCTGGATAATTTAATGAAATCCACTGACATCATTTCTAAAGGTCTTAACATAAACAGATTGTTAAGGCAGTCATGGGACCAAATCTTCCTAAATTGGCACCTTCCCGGAAGCTTAATTTCCACAAAAATTTATGGTGTTGTGAAACTAGTGCAGCTATACTTGTATCTATCAATTAAATTTCTTCACATGGGCTGTGGACATCAGATGCAGAGCCCCAGGGAAGAAAGTACAAAATTTTCTCAGTGGGTGAGGAAACAACTGCACACACACACAAAGAAAGGAATAATGAAAATTTAAGGAGCCTCTCATTTTCCACAGAAATAAAAGCAGTTGGTGATACCTGGGTTCCCATTAGATGTGGTGATCAGCATGGCATGTCACAATCCAATTGCCCAGGCTTAAAGCAGAAAAACATGCTCACTTTGATTGTTCTCTCCTTGCTCCAGAACATTTTATATCAGGAGCCCAGTTTCGTTCATCCCAGGTGCTTCTGGAGACTGAAGCAGAGTAAAGAGAAGGATGGAGACTCGGCACATTACACCTTCTTTCTTAACCCAGCATATAATCCAGGCACGGCAGAGTATTTGAGAAACTACTTGTATAAACAGTAGGTGCCTTTGTATTTTCTATGTAAGTGTCATCATAACTATCTCATGATGTGTCAAGAGGACGAGGATGAGAACAACGTCTTGAATCTTCTGCCCTCTTCTCCCAACTTCCACACCAATAAGCAACACCAAATTATTTTAAAACTAAATGCTATTTTTCTGCTTTGAAAATTTTCCTTATAGTATTCTGTTTTTCTCCCAGTTACCCTCCAAATTACCAGACAGGAAGCTATGTGAAGAAGGACTCTATACCTTGTTCTATCACATATAGTCTGGTCCTTCATAGTTTCTATAGCACAGTAGTAGCTTATACCTCATCAAAAGAACCCATTTAATTTCCATGAATGCCATCTTAAGTGGGTATGAGTAAACGGCCATAAGTAGAGTCAGCTGATGGACATTCTGTCAGCGCGTCGGTCCTATATGCATTGCTAGAGCAACTAACATTTGTGGCACAGCTAGCTGTGGGGAGTTCTCACATAGAGTTTCAGTTACTCTCTCAGATGCTCTGCATGTGGTCACACTAAGCCTGCTAAAGATGTATCAAGAGTGGAAGTAGAAGACCGGCCCACTCTGAGTTTCTATGAGTTCTTGTTTCTCCATACTTCACATATATACATGTAGAACCACTGGCCTTTAATTTCAAAGTCTACTTCTTTACTTATTGTTTAGAGTGAAGAAGGAATGTATGGAATATAAATAATAAGTTTGCATTCTTTGAAAAGTGAACTTGTCACTAATAGTGGTGACTGCTCACTTCCTTTTTCACTTGCCTTAGTAGCAGCTGTGGCATTTGATTGTTGGCAACACCTGATAATAGGGATAGAGGGGTTACCTACTAGCTCACCTTTGCCATTATTTAAGAGGCATGTATCTTCTCTATATCTAAGTTGTTTATTCTCTGATACTTATATCACCTTTAACTCTTACATTTTTCTGTAAGTCATTTTATTAATTATATCTGTCTATTTTACCAATTTAGGCCTTATATATATTTTGATTTTGTGAATTGCTGATAGCTGGTTTCAATCACAAAACTTTAATCAACCAAGCTACTCTAAAAGCTCAAGCCATAGATGTCTCTTAATATTTAATGTACAGTAGTTAGAGTTTGATTTTTACAAGTTCTATCTTGTGAAATTCCTGTTATATGTTACTGAAATTTTCTTTTTTTTCTTTTTTGTTTTTGTTGTTTTGAGACAAACTTTCTCTGTAGCTTTGGAGCCAGTTCTGGAACAAGCTCTTGTAGACCAAGCTGGCCTTGAACTCACAGAGATCTGTCTGCCTCTGCCTCTGGAGTTCTGGGATTAAAGATGTGCACCACCACCGCCCAACTAATGTTGCTGAAATTTTCAGTGAGACTTTTCCTGTGTGGTAATAAAGAATATCATAAATTATTTTTATTTGGAAAATGTATAGATAAATAATTATGTTCATATATAAAACTTTGCAATGGTACAATTTCTAAGTGGTAAACAGATTGTATTTAACTCTGAATGAATTATTCAAATTAAATACATATGTTTAATGTTTAGTGATCAGATGATATGCTATGAGTTAGAAGGAAACAGCAGTTACTATTCATTCCATAAACACAAATTGGTATTATTCTCTTCCAACTGACTTCTTAACTGTTGACTGGCTTTTTTTTTATTAAAATACAATTAACAGGGTAGAGTCCATAGTCCCACAGCAGTTACACATTTTTATTACATAAAACTCCATAAATATTTTGTATACCTTTTACAAAAGCATCTTCTATTTTTCAAAAATGTAATACTGGCACATACAAATCTCAGGAGGATATCAACATGTGTTAGTGTAACTGGAAAGTAGTTAAAAGATAATTTCCAGAAGAAAAATTGCGTTGATCAGATTCACCCAGTGTAAATATATGACATGCTGGTGTAAGCATAAAATAGGTAAACAATATTGAGGAGATAGTGCAGGCCCTTAATCTCTGTACTCAGGGCCTAGAGCAGTTATACCCTGTGCATTTGAATCACATCTAGTCTACAGCAAAGGCTCATTCAAAACCCTGGAATTCAGCTGGACAGGGGTGGCACATGTCTTTAATCACAGCACTTGGGAGGCAGAGGCAGTTGAATCTCTATGAGATCAAGACCAGCCTGGTCTATAAGAGCTAGCTCCAGGACAGGCTCCAAAGCTACAGAGAAACCCTGTCTTAAGAAAAGAAAAATTAAAAAAAAACATAGAATTAATTCACTATAAATTGCCTAAATGTACACTAATACTGTCCACATGCACAGATGTATACAGACATACATCTTAACATCATGCATCTCTGGTATTTGAATATTTTTTTAAAAATATATCTTTAAAAGGATTTTATGCCTGAAATAGATAAACCAGAAACTAAAAAAGAACAAGATGAAGATTGATAGGATTGGATATGTTAAGTATATCGCCCACTGACTATAAAGAATTGTAAGTACAAGAGCCAAATATTGCCCAGACTATTGTGCACTCATCAGACAATTCAGTTAATTTCAAAAGAAAATACAGAAAAGTCAATGGCTCACACATTCCATGAATTTATAATGCACAATAATTTAAAATTGAAATCATGACTGGGTTTAATGTTTGGTTAAAGCCTGTGGCCTTATCTTTACCTTCTGAGCAAGCGCTCAAAGCTCAAACACCAGAGATGAACAAACCTCTCTGTGGAAGATGACATTGGTTCATCTTCTTTATTGGATTAGCACTATCATGAAATTTTAATTTCTTTTCAGGCTTCCAGCGTTTTATGTGTTCTGAGTATCACAATATAGAATATTCATTTCAATCATTGGCGGGGGGGGGGTTGGGAATACCATGAAGTACAGATAGTTCTTGTACTGATTGCGCATGATTTTCTGTAGATCTCTGTCCTTATTAAAAAAGTGTATCATTTTCCAGAACACCAACGGAAAACTATCAGTTTGTATTGGCCTTAACATTTTCCTTGGATGAAGTCAACAGGGATCCTCTTCTTTTACCAAATATGTCTTTAGTATTTGACTTTCTAGCAAGTGGTTGTAAGACTGTGTCACAATTACGCAATTGCATTCAATCTTCTCTCAATTTTCATGATAATCTTCCTAATTATATCTGTATAATATGGAACACGTGTGTAGTTGTGCTTTCAGGACCAAACTGGGTAGTATCTTCAATAGGTGGGAAAACCTTGTACTTCTACTATTCTCAGCAGGCAAGGATTTTTGTGATGGTTATGCAAGAAATCCTTTCTCCATTGGTGCCATCCTCAGATGCTAAGATTAGTATGAGGAGCAGACTGGCCTTACACTTATTTCAAACTGCATAGTCCATGGAAACAATTCAGAGACTTCATGGACCATCTATATTTACATTATTGAAATAGAGATGAGGGAAGAAGTAACAGGAAGGGGGTGTTTTAGAATTCTTTGCAGAAAAGTGTGTTTAACAAGTCCTTAGCAGTGCACGCTACTTCACGCTGTTCCTTGTTTCCTAGATCCTTCAGCTCACCTATGGACCCTTCCATCCTACCCTGAGTGACCATGAACAATTTCCTTTTCTGTATCAAATGGCCCCTGAGGACACATCTCTACCCATGGCCATGGTCTCCCTCATACTTTACTTCAGCTGGAACTGGATTGGGCTTGCCATCTCAGACAATGATCAGGGTACCCAGTTTCTCTCGTATTTAAGAACAGAGATGGAAAAAAATATACTCTGCTTTGCCTTTGTGAATATGATTCCCCTCAACCTACATTTGTACATGTCAAGAGCTGAAGTGTATTATAACCAAATCTTGTTGCCATCCTCAAATGTTGTTATCATTTATGGTGACCCAGACAGTACTCTAGGTGTCAGCTTTAGAACGTGGACATCTCGAGGTATACAGAGAATCTGGGTCACCACCTCACAGTTCGATGTCACTACAAGTAAGAGTGACTTCTTGTCTGAATTGTTCCTTGGTACTCTGACATTGGCACACCACCATGCTGAGATTTCTGGTTTTAAAAATTTTATCCAAACAGTGAACCCTCTTAAATACTCAGATGAATACCTGGCAAGGCTGGAGTGGATGAACTTTAACTGTGAAATCTCGGATTCTATGTGTAAGACATTGAGGAATGGCTCATCCAACAGCTCTCTGCAATGGGTGATTGCACAGACATTTGACATGGCTTTTAGTGATGACAGCTATGATATATACAATGCTGTTTATACTATGGCCCATGCCTTCCATAAGACTCTTCTTCAGTCAGTGGGCAATGAGGAAGTACCCCATATTGACTGCTTGAAGGTGATATTTTTATTTGTTGATATTCGTTGTCATCTATATCAGCCTTTAATAGAGTCTCAGATGCCCCATTTTAGTAGGTTAGGATATATTTCCCCAAATACAAAGATTTCTGAACATTTTTCTCTTGAGGAAGAAAATCTAGTGGTTTGTAAAAGTCTCAAATGCAAAGACTGTGGAGTGGGAGACACAATTTATCAATCAAAATCCGTGATTTTGTTACAGAGCACTGAATACCATGACCCCTGCTCTAATACTGGAAACATAGGAGTCTTCCTCATCAATCCTCTCTATCATAAAATAGAGCCTTTGTTCCTTAATTGACAAATATGTGGTAGTCAGTGTAGGGGATGGTTGTCACAAGTGTTTTAAACTGATTCTGCACTAACTCTAGGCTCTGGAAAGCTCACATGTGTTTGAAGGGATAATTCTTATTGTTTATGAGTGGATATTTGTGTGTTTCTATGTATCTGCGGGTTTATCTGTGTTGAAGTTATGTGTGTGCTTCTATCTATCTGAATATCTTCCTGTCTGTAATAAGTGATAATAAATTTGTCTATTATCAATATCTTTCTCTATGAGTGTGTTTCTTTGTATCTCTCCCTATGTGTATTTGTCAGTGCATATGTCTGCATATGCCTATGTGTGTGTGTAATTTGTGTGTTTTTGTGGATGTGCTTGTACATATGTATATCTGTGTTTCTGTGTACATGTGTGTGTTTTAGTGATTGTGTTTGTACATGTGTATAGCTGTGTTTCTGTTCCTGTGTATGTGTGTCCGTCTTTGTATTTGAGGATAAATTTGCCTGTGTCAATGTCTCCTTTGTGGGAGTTTGTGTCTGCTGTGTCTCCTTGTGCATGTTTATCTATAAATTGGTGAAAATTTTCATTGGCCTGTGTATGTTTTGTGGGTTTCCGTTTTTTGTGTCTGAGTGCATAAGTCTGTTTGTGTGTGCCTGTGTGTTCATATCCTGTCTTGGCTACATGTGTATATGTGTGTGAATAGTATGTGCCTGTATTATGTATGCATATGAGTCTGTGTGTATGTGTTTGTGCACATTTAATACTTATAATTATAATTAGTGTCTGCATGTATGCCTGTGCTTATGATTGGTAATTCCTCTGATACAAAATAAAATTCTAGGAACATTATGATAATTTTATTTATTTACTTGCTTTCACTGAGACTTCTCACTGGACATCTTCTATAAAGTTGTATTTAAGATGAAGTCATAATATATTTTCTGACTTCAAGGAGGGGCAGATTCACTAAGGAATGCTGCCTGTCTTTCAGCTAAACTCCATACTTAGGAAGACCCACTTCACTAATCCAGTTGGGGACAGAGTGAATATGAACCAGAAAGAAAAACTGCGGCCAGAGTATGACATTTTCCAGATTTGGAATTTCCCAAGTGGTCTTGGACTTAAGGTGAAGATAGGAATGTTTAGCCCATATTTTCCACACGGTCAACAGCTCCATTTATATGAAGACATTCTAGAGTGGGCCACAGGAAGTAGACAGGTAGGTCTGACCTGATGAACTGATTTACATTACACAGCAGTAACACTGTCACGTGGGTTCACCTGTGCTTCCATGTAACTTAGTAAAAGTAGATTGTCACTTTAGGAGCCATTTTCTAGCCTCCTACAAAATGTTTCTTCTTTTCACTTTTTTGATGTGATATTGAATGAATTGTTTCAGAATTTCATACATGCATACTGTGATTTTTATCATACCAGAACATGTTTCTGGTTTCTAATATAAATATAAAACTGTTTTTTAACCACTGTTTAATCTTATTTCCTATAATTGAGAAATGTTCTCTTGGTACCATTCTGATTACTACACAGTGATTTTTTTTTCTTTTCTGCTGCACCTCTGACAGATGCTGAAAGAATGTGACTAATTGTAAGGGAGGAGTAAAGTAAGCACATGCAAATTATTCATTTTATTATAAAATTTGCTTTAAGCCTTTTTACCAACAGGTCCTAACCATGTGTTAATATAACAGTTTCCTAACCCGTTTAGAAACCCTGTAGATTATAACGTTGTTGTGGATGTGATTGATTTGTCTGCATGTATTTCTGTGCAGTGCTAGAATGTGTGGTATATATTCATGTCAGAACAATGATTTGGATTTCTGGGAAACTGGAGACAGTGTGATGCCACACAGGGGGAACTAGAAGTCAAACTTGAAACTGTGTATGAGGAGCAATTGTAATTGACATTTGAGCCATTTTTCTAGCCCTGATGTTTATCCTGTAAATGAAATTGTTCACTAGATGAACATTGCTCGATTTCATTACTTCTTTCGTAGTTCACTCAAACAAACAAGTGAACAAGTGTGTGTCTAGTTTTCTTATCTCTGTGGGTGGGAGGTATTGGTAGTAAAGTAATTTGGCTTCTGAAAGTTTATAAATGATATGTTCCATTATGGGTTTTAGGCATGATATAGATAATAATTCTCATGTGGGTGGAATTTAGGTATCCAATTCAAACTTCCCAACTACAAAGTGACTTTTGATCTGAGGGTTTCACTACTGAATTTGATCTGAAGGCTTAACTACTATCCATTTAAAGACCACCAATGAAATTTCACATGTGCTCTAAGAAGCCTCAGTTGAGCATTACAAAAACATCCACTGGAGGAATATAGAATATTAAGAAAGTTGCAACCATTTCTATACTTCCAAATGTGCATATTTCAATGCAGAAACAAATGAATAAAATATGAAGCATGCAAGCAAGACAATTCTTCATGTCAGAGTCATATATTTAAATGAGAACAAATTCAATGGTTTAATTGGTTGACGAATAAAGCTGTTTTGGCCAATAGATTAGCAGAGCAGGGCTAGACAGGAAATCTGTACAGAGATAGAGAGAGTAGGTGAAGTCAAAGTGATGCCATGTAACTGCCAAAGGAGGAAGATGCTGAATCTTACCAGTAGACCACAACCTCATGGTGATACACAGATTAATAGAAATGAATTAATTTAACATGTAAGAGTTAGCTAAATGATGCCTAAGCTACTACTCAAACAGTGTTGTAATTAATATAGTTTCTGTGTAACTTTTCGGGTTTGGGCAACAGGGAGACAAACAAGAAGTTTCTGCCTATATAAACTAATACAGAGACAGAACAAAGTTCAATGATGAACATAAATTACAGGAATTAAGAACCACTCTAACACCGCTATAGAAGACACTTGAAGAACTCCTACAAACTGAAAAGAAAGAAAAATACAAGTGGTAAAGGTATGTAAAGACAGCACTAGAATACCAGACAGAAAACCGTTAGAAAAGTATCAATATTGTGATAACGACAATGAACAATATAATTAGTAAATAATTCTCAATGACAATTTATTGCTAAACTTTATATTCTCTAATCAAAATACACAAATATCAAGGTTGTCTGTAAAGGCAGCAGTCATTTTGTTTCCAAAAACACACCTTAGTTACAAACATGAAGAGAGACCCCTTTTATAAATATGGGGGAAATAATTTTGAGGAAATGTAACATAATAAAGAAAATTAGAGACCATTCATTTTGATAGACATGGACGTAAAATTCTCAACTAAACCTGAGTAATAAAACTCAACAACACAACAGAAAGATCTGCTCCTGTGACAAAAATGACTGAATTCCAGGGATACAAGCTTGGTTCAACAAATGCATATCAGTTATATAAATGTGGCACAGAAATAGACTCATGAATAGAACTAGAGGAGCATCCGAGTATGTGCAGAAAGTGCTCGTAAGAAACAATTTCAGCATTCATTCAGAGTTAAAATTAAAAAAATAAAACCTGACACAAAAGAAGGAGCACATCTTGACTTAGTAAGGTTTTCTTTATATTAATTAATATTTTCCCAGCCTAATCATATGAAATAAAATAAAAATCAATAAATAAGAAACTTAATATGGAGCTAGGCATCCCTTAAGGGCTGTTCACCTTCTACTCTGGAATGTAAGGGAGATCCTAGTGGCCTGCAGGTGAGGTAAGAATAGGAAAATGGCTGGGAGGTACTGATAGCTGCCTTTGCTTCTGCAAAACCAACTTTCTGCTATGGGAAAGGGATAAACTATTTTTTATTACTATATAGTAGGAAAGTAAGAAACAACTGAGGAAATAAAACAGTTTTCCTGCCCAGCTATGGATTTCACAGGTAGCTGTAACACACACTTTTCTGATTTCTAGCTTAAAACCCCATCTTTATCTCCCTTCTGCACCTGCATGCTATTTGGCTCTAAGGCTGCCATCCTTCTGCAGTAAGAATGAATTCATTTCCTCTAAAAGAAAAATGTTTTCTATGACAATCTACTATATGAAGAGAAACTCAAAGAATTGTCACTAAAATCCTAAGTGAGGTCAGGTGTATGTGGTGGTGCACATCTTAATCCAAATTCTTGGACGTCAGAGAAAGAGAATTTCCTGTCTCTTTATGGCAAGTCTGGATTACATAGCAAGTCTAGGTCACCTATGGTTGCATATAGTAGAGACCCCACCTGAAAATCATGGGCAAAATTGGACAAGGTTTTAACATTTTCTCCACTCTTCTTCAAAATAGTCCTTAATATCTTAGCAAGTACAAAAGTAAGCTGTGCTGAGTCAGCTCAGCAACATTCCTGATCAGCAAGGGGCCCTGACTTCTAGCAGAAGGCCATCGGAGGGCTCAGCTGCCTTCGCGCTGGGCCTGGGCTGTAGGCGC